AGTCGAGCGCGCCGGGCCTGCCAAGCCTTACGCGCCGGGCCCGCCAGACCACGCCACCGAGCCCAGCCGAGCCCGCGCGCCGCTGAGCCGCAAAGCCTGGAGATCCCGGCTTCACAGGAAGCCTCCCCGCGGCATCTCCAGTCGGCCGCCGCCGCGGCAATCAGCGCCTGCCGGACAGACAACCCTCCCGTGCTACTACCTATGCGCTCAAGCAAGTCTTCCCTCTGCCCCTGTGCCACACACCGCTCCTTCTTTATTGTGTCTTCTCTCCTTCGCCACATACTAATCACGTTATCTGGCCACATTAAGAAGGAATCCTCTCTATCCAATGTTGACCGCCAGCTACTGCCTCATTTTTCTGCTGCTCTTCATATTAACACTCTTTTTTCAAGATTTCTATTCTCGCTACCGCTGATAGTCCCCTTGTCCCCGCACTTCCTCAGCTCCAGATCCTGACTTAAATGTCACTTTCTCGGCGAACTTACCCTACTTTAAAGTGTATGCCCTCCTGGGCCCCCCGCATTCTTGAATCCCCTTCCTTTTCCTTTTTATAGCATTCATCACATTCTGACATACTACTTGGGCACTGCTTGTTTTTTACATTGTCTCCCACCCAGCTAGAATGTAAGCTTCATAAGAAAAGGGAATTTTGTCTTAAGTTTTAGTGACTGATTTGCTTCCAATACCTAGCCCAATGCCTAGATATGACTGGCAGTCAAATATCTGTTATAAATAAATGAATGTTGCATGTTGGCCGTGTTTTAAAACATAATTTATACATAAATCTTTATGATTTAACCAAGTAAACCAGAAAGAAAAAAAAACAAAAACTATAACTTACTGAGCCATTGCCATACAGATTGTTCCAGCATATTTGCCACAATAAAAAGTGCTACAGAAAAATGTTTGTATAAATATCTATGTATGGTACTATTTCTTCTACTGGTTAGATTCACAAAAGTAGGTTATGGGAATATATGTTTTAAAATTTAACAGACATTGCCAAACTATCAGGAAAGACCATAAGTCTGATAAAAACATGAGCCATATCCAAATCTCAACCAGATATCACTTTAAATATCCAATAGAATTATAGGTTTTAAGAAAACAAATAAAGGATTTAAAAGGAAAAGGTATCTTCCTATCTTAAGAGTTAAAGATGAAAAATTCAATCCCATGATCAGCCTGGATGGATGTTGTAGATTTCTGTGAGTGCACACGAGAATCAGACAATATAAATATCACTGAAGTCAGGGGCCAGGCTCCTTAGAATAAATAAAGTCACTCGGCACACCAACTACAGTTAGATTCACTGTGTCCTACCCAGGTCACCAACAAGAAGCCAATCAGAATTCCAGGCTGTGGTGGTGAGTAGCCTCAATTAACACTGTTCCCTAACAAGTACATTACCTCAGTTAAATAGGCTGGTGACAGGCTTCCTCAAGTGGATAGACAGCTTTTAATACTCAGAAAGATTAAAATCATAGTATTAATATTTGGGATGTTAGGAGCAATGTGAACATATTTGGTATTTTTACATACTTGCAATGTTTAATGTCATAACACCAACTCAAAGTTTATAACTGAGCAATTGATTTAGACGTGTGACAGTATTAGAACACGCTAGGAAATTTTAGGTTTATCATATTTACAAATTTAAACTATTAAATTTATAAGAATTATTATTAACTCATTGGGCCTCATTCTGTTTGCTTCCTCTTTTACATGACAACCCTCCAAATATTTGAAGACAGCTTACATGTTTTCTACTATCTAGAAGAAGAAAGGAAGTTTTAATTCAACTGAAGTTTTAATTGCTAAATTGAATATGTGAAGTACTTAAAAAGGAAATCAAGTATATAAAATGTATAAATCATTTTAAAATGTGGTAAAGATTAGGTTGTAAATGTGACCAAATATGCAAAAGTCCTATAAAAACGATTGCTAAAATCTGTAGATTCATATATATGTAATAACATCATTTGCCTAAGGAAGAAACTAATGTATTTTTTAATTTAAAATAATGCAATATTGTTTAAACCAAAGTTGAGGTCTTAATACTCATTTTTTAGTACAAAACTGCCCTTGAGGGCACTATAAAACTCACATAGACAATTACAGTATCTTCCCCAAAAGGGTTATAGACAACCATCTTCCTACAGCAATATTTAAACGTGCCCATTTCCAGGCTCCTTGCCAGCACTCTACAATTCAACCATTTAAATGTTTGCCAATTTAATTAAAGAAAAATGAGATCTCATTATTGCTTTCATTTGCATTTATACCTCGCTTACTAGTGAAGTTGTATTCACCATCTGGATTTCTTCTTTTGTGAATTGCCTGTTCTCAGGCTTTGACTTTTTTCTCCTGGGTTGTCTTTCTTATCAATTTTTAAGAAAAGCTCTGAATTTAATAGCACAGTGGCACATATGCTGAAAAATTTCTTCCCAATCTAGCATATGTCTTTTGTCTTTGGGGTGCCTTTTGTCATTAAAATGTATGCAGTCAGAAATGTTCCTCTTTTCTTTTATGGCTTCCAGGTTTCCCCAAAGAAGTCTTCTCCAGATTACATTTATATTTTACTAAGTTTTTTCCAATGTTCTATTGTCTTTTTACTTTCAAATTTTAACTGATCCGTATTCTCTGTATGGGATATGAGGGAGGGGTCTGACTTTGTTTCCTAACAAACAAGGAGCTAATTACACCCATTATTTGGTTTTACAATAAGTTCCCATATATATTTGGATCTATTTCTTTACTAGCTCTTCTGTTCCTCTGATCTACTGAGAGCTCCAGCTTCTATAACTTTGAAAATTCACAACTTTTCCATTCTGGCAAATTCTTTCAACTGTCTTCTCAGAGCTACACATTCAGATTTCCTATCCAGGTTCCCATTTTAGCTCTATACCTGTCTGATGTGACCCTCTGACTGATATAACAACACAGCCCTGAATAAATACACAGGCTCCAGAATTCTCCTGTCAGCATTCAAATCCATCGCCACACAATCTCTGGCAAGTTGCTTATCCATTTCGTGCTTCAATTTCTTCATTTATAAAATAAGGAAAATGAAATCACCTACTTCAAATGGTTGCTGAATGAATTAAATGAGATTATCTTGCTTAAAAGTATAAGACTTGGCATAAAAGTGCACAACAAATTTAGTCATTTTTATTGTATACACATATTAAAATTAGATCAAATTCAAGATTATCTCTATGCTAATATTAACGTCATTCTCATTGACTCATACACTTTGCTTTCTTAAGTTAAAGAAAAGGAACAATTACTGCTAGTCCTGAAGGTATAGGACACATCGTCACTCCCTCTGGGAGTCTGAAGCTCTGGGAAAGGTATCTGTCATGTGCATCTGAGAGTAAAACTGAGATTGGACACTACTGGTTTATACCATCATCAACTTAACCTGTAACACAGCTTCTACTCATTGAGTTACCTTCGGACTCTCCCTTTAAACAACTTTCCTATTCCATTGGGCCCAGCTTTCTAAAAACATCTTCTAGCACGCGGCTTCCCCCATTACCATCACAAAGAATCCATAATGGATCCACTACCTACCAGAAAATATCAACTCTCCTTCCTGGCTTTCAAAGCCTACAGAACTTGATCATACTCAAATCTTGTCCAGCCACACCAATCTCACAAATTACCCTCCCAGTGACTTACCTGTATCTGGAATCAGTTTATATTATACTACACTACCACAAACTACAAGACTCACTTCCATTAGCCAAAAATATCAAAGTCAAGTATTACAATAAAGTCAAGAGGAAAACTACTTTTTCCCCTTTCTGAAAACCTGAATAACACTGGCCAACAGGTTCATTTGCGGCCTCTCTGTGAATTGCCAAAAGATCACAATGAGGAAATTGGCAATCTCATCTGTAAGTTTTCTAAGTATATCATCAAACAGTAAAATTTGTCTGACCCAACAGTTCAGAACAAGCTGGTGCTTTCTCAGATCTCTATCCTGGGCCTCAGATCCCTCTTACCAGTGTTTTTGGTCTGGATAGCCTCTTAGTTGAGAGAGAGGTAAATCAAACAGGAATTGGGCCTCAACCAGCAGACCCCAGCACATCCTTATCGTCTTGCTCTAAACAATGCTTTCTAAAAATCCCTTTTAACTGTGTTTAGGAATTTCCGTTCAAAATGGCCGAGATGGAGCTACCACAGTAAGCAGCCCCTCCCAAACACACAAACCTACCTAGTAGCATTCTCTTCCAGCTCCCCCACAGTCCCCGTACACACCGTCTCCATTTCGTGACTGTCCACCTTGATCAAACCTCACCATTCAAACTGCTTTGGTCAAAGGTCCACACAGACATTCATGCCGCCACGCCCAAGGGCAACACATGCTGCTTTGATGTCTGGCCTGTGGCCCTTCCTTGAGCATGTGCCCTCACCTCACTCCTGTGACCTATGAGGGCTGTCATCCACATGGACCCTTCTTCCTCACCAAATGAAAAGGATCATGATCCGAAATGGGTACACTGAGGCAAATGAAATGAACCCTAGTAAAGAAAGGGCTGCACTTTTTTCTCTGAGATTGCCAGTCCTTGGGACTATTTAATTTTAAATATAACCCTAACGCCAGTGACCTTCTTTACTGTGAAGACATACTGCCTGAGAATCAAACCACCACACAAGGAAGCTGAAGGCTACAGGGAGTAGAGAGGCTGGGCACTAAGGGAAATGTGGGGGAATAAGAGATAAAAGTAAAGATAAGGTTTAAGAAAAACAGGGGTGAGAAGGGAGAGCCACATAGAAAACATCTTTCTACAACAAATACACATGTGCATGGTTCCTCGTATTGACTGTCTGCATGGTATCCACTAGATGCAAGTAACCTCATTTTATCTCATATCGGACATTCAAATTGTTACCACTTTTAACTATTATAAAACATAAAATACATATTAGGTATTATAAACCTACATAACTTTGTATATAGCTATATGCAGTCATTTTTGCAAAATTGGGATCATAACTTAAGGGTAGTGTTTACTTACCCACTGAACGGTAGCTGTTTTTCTTCAAGTCATGCATGCAAACGGCACTCGATGGCCCACACTGGGGAAGAGCACCATTTCCACAGACGTTGATTTTATAAAGTATATTATTTTTGGTATCAACAGCTTCCCATGTATAACTGAAAAAGAAGAAAAACAACTTGTCACTGTCACTGATTTGCCAATAATTTACCTTCTCTCTAGTTTTACATTCAAGCCACATTTGCTTAGAACTACCACAAACTAGAAGGTAAAAATACTAACGTCAAGTATATTAAGTTGAAAAGAAGCCAAGACAGAAACCGCTAAATACCACCCTCACTCTGGTTAAATCCACCCTGAAGCCACCTCAGGACTCAACAATCATCAAAATACTAAGATTCTACCTTTAATTTAAGAATATCAACTCAGTAAGGAATTCTTAAGAATTATGTTGAATATATGATGGTAACCTTTCCAATCACACTGAAATGCTGAAAAGCCAAAGGATTGTTTTTAATTCTTTATTTTATTAAAAAACCAGTTATGGCACGAAAGCCAGTTCTCCATCCAGCTTTACTTTTACCGCCACACTTCAGATCTGAACTGACAAACTGAAGCTGTGAGATCGGTCGACTGTCTCATCTGAAATCAGGCAAAGTCTATTTCAGGTTGATTCACTACGTCAGGCATTAAAACTCATTGTTCAAGCCTCTGGCAAAGCAGACATTGAGTAATTGCTAATAAATTAGTCTGTATACTTGGGACATAATACTTCGTTTGTCAGTTCTGTCAAAACAATTATTCTTAATTCTCTACTCTTCCCTGGGAGAATGTTTTGTCCATTTTGTAAAATGGGGGTCATTTCCTCAGCAAGGGTAGAAACAAGAGGAGGAATAACTGCAGAGCTCCTTTGCAAATACAAAATTACCTTATTAACTTTAATTCAACAGTATTGCTGAAAGAAGGGAAGATAGGTTAAATGAGAATTGCTTAGGTTAGGCCTACCCAGGAGTTGTGGAGGGCCTGGGGGTGAGACTTTGAGGTCTCCAAGCGTGAGACTGCTCATATTTATCTGGAGCTTATTTACCTAACACAGTAACCTCTTGATGACCGAAAACACTCCCTCACAGCGGTAGCAGTCCACTTCCCAGCGATCCCATCCACCAGGCATCAGGGCAATGACTGCACAAAACTACCAGGCAGCACATCCCTCTCTGACTAGAATGAGTTGGCCCAGTAGACCCTCCAGAGGAGAAGCCACAACAGCCCTGTTAGGGTCACTGGCAGACGAGGCACCCAGCTTCCCCTGAACACAGGTCTGGGGCCAATCTGATTCACCTGCCAAGAAGCCAAGGGGTGTAAGCACGCATAAGCATTCCAGCAGGGTGGTGGAATGTTCCCCTGGAAGTTCTGATAGCCACTAAACTGCTACAAACCTGAAAAACAGGTTGGTGTACTTGTCAAGTGCCTGGCATTGGGGTGACACCAGGCTTTAAAGCAGTTACTACTAAACTCTGCTTCTTCATCACCAACATGTTAAGAGTTATCTACTAGAATCAGGAAGATTAAACAACATGAGAAAATAACCCAAGTATCACCAGGCACAGAGAAAGAAAATCATCAGTAAAGACTTGTCTCCTTTGCCTGCTCGTTGGTTTCACAAATATGTCTTAAGTACTTGCTGCCGTTTTGGAGTGTACATTCCAGTGGGGTGGAGACAGAAAATAAGTAAACAAATACTCAGAATAATTCCACCTACTAATGCATGCTCTGTGGTGGGAAATGATTGGGTAGTGGTGATAGACCAGGGAGTCCTCTAAGATGGTATTTGCTCTGAGACTTGAATGACAAATAGAAGAATTATGGTGGGAAGAACATTCTGAGCAGATGGACCACCACTGCAAGGTCCTGAGGCAGGAAAGAGCTCGGCACATTCATGGAAAAGAAAGGGGAGCAATGTGGCCGGTCCAGGAGGGTAAGAGGACAGAACAGGAGAGGAGGTCCAGGAGATGGGGCTGGGCACGCAGGGATCTTGCAGATCAGAGGAAGCAGTTTCCATTTTATACCTGAAGCAAAGAAAGGCCACTCAAGGATACTACAATGCTTTCCTTAAGATTTTAAGCTAGTATTTTGACTGAAGAGTATTAGTAACACTTTTCTATTATTAATTATGGCTAATTCAGACAAATGCTAATCTCTTATTAGGAAGCCATGACCAAGCTTTTCCAGGATACTTAACAGAAAATGTAAAACCTTAGCAGGGGCATCATTAAAGTATTTCACAACCCTAAGTATGATAGAGGTATATATAAAGGCATCATTTGAAATGAGTCAACTGATAGAAATCAACTCTGAAGAAATCCACACAGTACCTAAAATGCTGTGCTCTTCTTAAAAACAGAAATCCGCTGCTGTTTTTGCAGAGGTGATATTAAAATAAGTATAAAGTGTCTGTGCATTCAGAGAGCAGAAAAACGATGCAAGAGTAAAATGTGGGATACTGTCCTGATTATCTGGAAATCAGAGTTCCTAGAAAGAAAAGGGTATTCAATTGCATTCTTTTCTCTATTCGCATTTCATATTTGTTTTGTCAAGAGTTACAAGAATGTTACAAGAATGTAAGTGGTTGTTATGGGAGTAAAGGAGGGGGGACCCTATTAAAGCACATGAACACTGACTTTTGGGGGGTGTTGATTTCACCACTTAGCACAGGGCAGCCCTACTCCAGGCTAGTGCCTTCAATGCCACTCACAGACCCAGACAGCAGCACTCTGGTGGAGGCACCAATACCTGAGTTCTCAGTCACATCACTTAAAAATGAAGGAATGGTCGCAGCACGTTTCTAAACCACACTACCAAGGCACCTGAAGACTGTCGGTACTTGAAACACTGATTCCCACGGACCTCATGTCTGCTTTAAAAACAAACACACCTAGCATCTGGTATCTTTCGGAGCTCAGGAATAGTCCTTCGGTTAAACTAATCTCTCTGAAAACTCACAAAGCACATTCTGAAAACTATTATGTACTCTGATATGTACCCTGGTTAGATTACATTATCTACATATGCTTCCGCTAGTTGTAAATATTTTTTAAAGACTATTTCATAATAAACTTGAAAGTCATATAAATATCTGATAGTACTTAAGAAATTATGTGTTTGAAACTAGATAATTGTAGATTTCCTGCCAGGTTAAAGGACGAGCCGCCAGAATGGCCTAGGCTAAAATCATTCCAAAAATTAAATAATTCTTAAAATTAAATTGATTCTAAATTTTAAAAGCACCATGATCATATTATAGAACCAGAGAATGGTTTCAGAAGCAACGAAAGTATTATGGACTAAATAAAATGTAATGATATCTTTGAGGAATAATAAACTTTTGTCTGAAATTGTCTATTAGAAAATTTTCTACCTGAAACGAACATGTACGGCCAAAATTGGGAAACGATTCCACAGCAGAACAGCTCATTTAACAGCCAAGCAAGTGAGACCATTCAGCTGAGATTCCCAGAAAAGTCTACATTCTAGACTACGTTATTTGGGCTTGTGCACGTAAAGACTTAAGGAAAAGACTCACGAGAAAAAAATGAGATCGACATATTAGATCAGAGAGAAAACTAAGCTGTAATATTTAAATTTTTAATTTTAGCAAGAAACAAGCCTCTGAAAGAAAATATCTGCAAGCTGTGTGGAAATGCAGTCTTCACTCAAACGCACACGCATAAGAATGTTTTAAATATGTTTGCTATAACAAGCAACTTCTGCAGCAAGATAAGTAAGAAAGTCCAGTCGGCATTTTCTTGAAACTAGCGTTCCTATCGATGTCAAGTCTTCTAAAAGTCACTGAATCTGTGCTACATTCCATCTCCTCCGAGGAAAGCCAACAGGAGGTGAGGAGCAGGGAGGGGGCAGGGAGAACCGCTGGAGGAAGCAGCTTGTCAACTGGAAACATCACCCAGAATCCCAGCCCACTGTCCCAGCCTGGCAAAATTCAGTTAATATCCTCGAAGGAGGCCGCCTAATCCCAGTTAGAATTGCTCCTCTGGATATAAAACGATCTGCACAAGAAACTTGGTTTGGCAAAAGCAAGCAAAATCCTTGCTATTCTACCTCATTTTTCAGAGTGCAAAATGTACTTAGCCAACGACCCCCCCCCTCCCATTCTCAAAAAAAACAAGTTCATTTTGAAGCAAGCCCGACAGCTGCAGACACAGTCACGCTCCACGGTGACTCCCTCAGCCCAGGCCCACGCTGCCCTGGGGCATCCGCAGCCCTGGCGCCAGCTCTGTTATCCCCAGCCACGCCGTTACTCTGGGACAGTAGTGCCCTCCCTCCCCAGAACTACCACTGGTGTTGCAGAATCAACACTGGCCAGTGGATTGAGAAGGAAACTGGGCCAGTGGACCAAGGACGCATCCCAGCCAGACTCTCACCCACAGGCGCTGACACCCGAGCCAAACCCTCACCCCGAGCACTGACACCATTACTCAGCGCTCCCAAGTTCCTCAGTTCTGGAGTCAAAGATCCCAAGACTCAGAAAGATTCAGACCTTGCCCAACATCACACAATTATGAAGTGACAAAGCCAGGAATAAACCCAGGTCAGTTTGAACCCCGAGGACAAGTGCTTGCTTAACCACTAATATAAACTGCTTCATTTATTTTCAACTTAAAAAACATTTTAACTTCTCAGAAAATATTTAATTTCAATTACAACACTGCAACTGGCAAAACATTCCACAAATCTTTAGAGTTTAAATCTTGTCACAATAAATGCCATTAAAATGACAGATTCTGTAGGGCATGAAGACTTCCAAGCTCCTTGTTATACTAACAGCCAACCCACCTACTGTACAACTTGATTCAATAAAATGCTAATTATACAGAAAAATTAAACTTGTTCCTTTACAACTCCTTGTAATAACAGATATTTGTAAAAATTCCCTTTTCATGTCTAATGTCCCAGTTCACACGGTAACTACTTGGATAGTGAAGGCAGACTTCTCAGAGTGGTTGAACCCATCTGAGGACGGCCTCTAAGAAAAAGCTGTGAACTTTCTGAAGATTCAGACTGCACCATGCCATGCTGACCAACGAACAGATCATATGCTTTTCCTAGCTGAAGTTCTTCCCCAAGTTTTAAACTTCTGCTAAACTATACCGACTCCACTTCTGCTTTCTCTCTTGCACAGTCTGAATTGCCAAACACCAGAGGCATCGCCTTCTGCAACCTCTCTTCCCACACCCAACTGGTTTCCATGGAAATAATATCAATTCCCTCAGCCCTCTCCTTCCCACTGGCTACACTCTCCTTGCTATTTGTATCCGAGCTGGTTGTGGACTCCACTAAGAAGGAATACATCTATATTGTTTTCCTCATCTCAGATTCACACTCTCCTTTAAATTGGCTACTTTGCTTGGCAGAGAGTCCAACAGTGTCATCAATAACTCAGAACATCCTACAATCAAACTGTCAGGCCTAGCAGGAAATGGGCGAGGGGAAGAAGTCACACACAAGGCGAACGACTTTACAAGATCTCTGATTTCAAAGTGAACTCTGGAGCTGAAATATACCTCAGACATGGGCAATTAATTTAACCGTATAAGTTAAGCACACCATCTGAATCATTCCCTTAAAGAAACCTTGATACCGTTTTGCTCTTGATTGTAATCTCATCGCTTCTTCTGAAAACCATGCTGGGGTACTACAGTCACTCCACGTCTGTTCAGTGGCCCAGAGGTTCCATTTTAACTTCATTTGTTTTAAATTTCATAATATCCTGAAAGGTGTTGGCAGATTACCAATTAGAAGGAAGCACACAAGTAACAGACTGTCAACCAACCCAGAGACAGGAAAGCATTTCTACTTTCCTAGTACTGTTCCAGCAAATGCCACGTCTAATGCCATTCTGGTCGAGACCAAACCAAGCAAGGGGCAGCAGGAAGAAGCAAACTAACCAGCCAGCACGCCTGCCTAGGGCTCGGGAAGCCTCCTCCGAAAGAAAGAAAAAGTTCAAAAGAAAAAGCCACAGGGATACGGCTGTACAGTATTTTTAAACTACTTGACATTGGTTTCTCAGTGTGACACCTCTCAAAGTTTTCATGTATGTCATCACTGAAAGCCTGAAAAACTGCAGTACTTTGCGAGATACAATTTGGAGTTCTTTCA